GGATTATATATCTATATCTATATATTCCATTTTAAAAGGTATTTTTTTAGGAATTACTCAAGCAGTTTTTTGTTTAATTTAGTAGTGTTCATAAGAATTAGAAGCTCAAGTTCAACATCCCTAAGGTGCTTTCTCTTGAATAACTTCATGGTATTTCATTTTATATATGGTTTTTGTTTTTGTTTTACTGCAGATCCTGAATTGTTGTGTTTATGGTTCAAGCCTGTACAACCAGCAAAGCCATTATCTTTTAAGTCTTGCCGATCTCTCCAGTGAGATATATGATCCCTTTATGCCTCTAGGAAATGTCAGGAATTCTGAAGTGATTCTGGTTCAGTCTTCTGCAGACCTGAATAATTTGCTCACAGTTGCTGAAGGTAACAAATAATTTGAAAGGGAACAGCATCTTTTATTTTTCATTGAAAACTCTCTGGAAAAGAAAAATATATATTTTACAAGAACTGAGCCCTAATAAATTGTAAGCATTATGTTTAAGATATGATAAATCTTTAATTTGGAGGCGGCATGTTGGAGTATGTTCTGATGCAAGTTGCTTCCACCTGAACTTCTTTCTCTTCTGTCACTATAATTTCATGTCCACATTTCAAATCTTTCTTGAGGGCCATCATGCAATACTTTCTGAAAGAGCTACAACAAGAAAAGGAAGAAGCTTCCTTTTCAATAAATATTACTTTTGGAATAGTTTTCATACTTAGATAAAATCCTGTGCTGACATATGCAAATACGGGGAACCTAGTCATTCTTTCATTATAATATTTGGCAACGAAGTTTCATAGAAGGCGTTTCCAATAATAATCTAGAACCCAATAATTTTAGTTGTGTTTGTGCTGAGGTTCATGATTTATAATAACCCAGAAGAAAACTCAAGAATAATATTTCATGGTGTCATTCAGTCTCTCCTCCAGGGACATTTTGTGCCATACTAGAAAACTGCAGTATAGTATGGTATTAGTATGGTATCAAAGCTGTGTTTAAAATAATCAAAATATTATAGGATAATCAAACCTCACTATGTTTTGGCATTCTTTGTCCCATATCTCCAGAAGGCCAGTGTAGTATATTTAGATCAAGGTTAAATCCGTACCGCATTGTGGAGCTCATCGAGTGACCAAACCCAATCTAATTGGGGATAATCTGGGGGGGGGGGGAGGTTGCCATGCATACCATCTTGAGCTCCCAGAGAAGAAGGTCTAATGGAAAATGTATGAATAGATAATTAAGGCTTAAGATGAGAGCACCATGAGGTTTGTCAATCTTTTGAGATTTAAGTTGTGTGTGTGTGTGTTATGCTGCACTTTCATTTAAGTTGGAGAATTCGCACATACTGAGAAGACACGTGTATAATCCTATATATAACTACTGCACAGCTAATTAATTTCTAGCTTATGTAGTGGTTTTCAAATATTTTTGAAGATGATACCTGCATTAAAAAAAATTGGAAACAACAGGTTTCTCATACTGTATCTCTAAAAATTTGTTTTCTTTTTAACCAGATTTCATAAATGAAACTCTTATCTGAAACAAATAACAGAAATAATTTGGTTATTATTGTTCTACAAATAAAATATGTCCACTATTTTAATAGATAAACTCAATTATTAGGTATAAAAGATGCCTTTACTTAGGCAATTCACAGTATAATTCATATATATTTTCCTTATTAACATAAATACATATTAAATTTTTGCCACCTCATAAAGTTCATTTCCTTTTAGTCTTTCGTTATTTCAGTGTATTTCCTTTTTAAAATAGACCTGTCAACTTTCCCTTCCTACAAATGCAATTGAAATTGGTGCAAGGATTTTTTCCTATTCCAATTTTAAAGTAAGCAATTGATAGCTGATATCTTAACAGTTTGCTTATTAATCTTAAATCAATGTAGAGAGCTTGCAGTTAAAGAAGCAGCAGGGAGAGATTAATAGTTAATAGATAATGTGTGCGTGTTCGCATTAGGGTATATTTTATGTTAGAAGCATTTCAAATTCAGATAAATTTCTTAATATGTCACCCTATATATCCTTTTTCATACATGCAATATACGTATGTATAGTACATATGTGTAAGGGACATATACCTAAACACACAAACATGTAATAATAAAAAGTTATATATCCAAATGCATCAAAATGCACCACAACTGCTTTTAAAATAAAAAATCCTGTTTTGTGAACCATTTGCTCTGTAATAATTTCTAGGCCTTCCCTTTAACATCAAAAGCAAAATAGCACAGAGGCGAACAGCTTTACCTAGTAATAGCTTATTAATTCCGAGAGAAATATTAATTACAGGAAAATTGGTATGCAATAAAGGAAATATTGGTAGAAGGTGGATATTTAATTTATTGTGAATATTATAGTTAGGAAAAACTGGCATGAGAATTCTTTAGTTAGTATATTATCCAGTGTTGATCGTCAAAATATATAATACATATTCAAAACACTGTTGGAAATATAACAATTAAGTTTGATTGTTATTTCCTATCTGGGGGCAATGTACAAAGCTCACAGCTTTAGAAACCAGTTCATCATAAGTTTAAACAAATTTTAAATACTTACTTATGCTTTATTGTCAGTTCTTTTTTCTTCTTAAGTATAATCCAACTTTAGATTCCTAGGGAGTATGGGAACTTGGCTTTATAAATGATAAATATTGTTAGGATTCTCTATGCTTTTCACTGAAAATTACATTCAATCCCAACATTAGAAGTTTGGCAAATTAAGATTTATGCATCAACATCAAGTATAATTTTATATCTTAAAAATAAGTCTCATACCAACTTTTATATGATATGGAAACCAAATCTATAATTTTGCACATAGCCCAGTACCAAATCCAGCATAAGGTTTTAGAATATTAGTTTTTTTTTCTCTGGCTATAAGGATGGGCTTTTTCACATTTTTGTTATTTCAACTACTTATTCTTATTACTTTAGTTATTTTTGTCAAACTCTGATCCACTTCTACTATTACTTCTTAAAGTGCCAGTTCTATGATTATATATATCCCAGGATAATGTGACTTGTAAGACCAATTGGCCAGCTGATTCCTTTTCTCTTTCTTTCTTTCTTTCTTTCTTTCTTTCTTTCTTTCTTTCTTTCTTTCT